TGCCACAGCAGCGCCTGACCCATCCCCTCCGTGCTCCTTCGCCGTGCTGACCCCGGGGGAGCTCACCCGCCCGTTTAGTGCGGCTCTGCAAAGCGGAGGAGCTCTGGAGGATGGTTCCGGACAGAAACAGTGCAAAATGAGGTTTAAATGGGAGAAAATTCAAGCTTGTTTTAAGTGAGAGGTCCTAGGACGGGCCAGCAGTGAGTGGTGGGTGATGCTCCTGGTTTTGTTTTGCTTGTTTGCTTGTCCACGACGTTCATAGCTGGAGAAGCTTTTTGTGGTCTCTGCAGAAGTTTCTGGGGTCGGTAAATTGTGGGAGAACTGTAAGCGAAACCAGGTACTCAGTTTGAAAGGTGGAACTTTTGTTCTTTGCAGTAGTAAATATCTGAAGCATTTACCTAATATGAAGTCATTGAGTTTACAAACCCCCTCGTTTAAAAAGCACTGCCTGTTCTTTCTGAGGAAAGGTCTGTATGTCTGCACACAAGGCCTTGTATTCAAGTTTCTAACCACCTTTTTTTTTTTCCTTTCAATATGTCATGTCTTGATGTTTATTCAGTCTTGAATTTCAGCATGTCAATTCTTAAAATTTATTTTGGCGACTGATACATGTGGAGAGCTTTTAATCTTAAACAAGCTTGAAGAAATTTGAGATGGGCTTGATAAATGTAATGTGATCGTCAAACTATTTTCTCTATCTGGGTGGATGGGTTGGTGGATGACTTCTGTAATTGGGCAGGATTCATCCCTCTTTCAAAAGAGAAGTTTCTGCTCTGGTACTCTGACACCTTTACTTTTTAATAAATAACTTAGATGTTTTGGGAGTAGAGGAGATGCTATCAGGAAATTAATATTTTTTTGAGATCTGAGTAATAAAATTAGTAGTGTTTTCTTAAACTTCTGTATTAAGTGTTTTTTTGACACTTCTGTTGTCTGTTTTCAGCCTAGGACTAGGGAATGTTGTAGCTATCTCATTTGTATATTAAATCAGTGATAATGTTTGCAGAAACAATTTCAGTTGCAGTGGTGCTTAGTAAGTGGAATGGACAGCTCTGGGCTAAAAAAGTGCAGTGTTCAGAAGGAAAAAGTGCTGTGCAATAATTTGTTGGTTAGAGCATGGGAAGGAAGCAGCTTGTGGAAGGAGGACTCTTGCCATGCATATTAGGATATTAGTGGTAGGTACATGGAGTGGCAGGTGAGGAAGGAGGAGAGTTTGAAGCAGCTGAACACAATCTGTGTTGTCATGTTAAAAAGAAGAGATGGGAATGAAGGAAGGCATCTGAGACACTCCATAGAAATCATAGAAAATTCTCCCGTCTCCTAAGTCAGAATGCAGTGACTAAACTGTAAATGTGAATCTAGTGGCCCTAATCCCTTAATACTTCTTTGGGTAAGGGTTTTGGTAGTATTACTGACTTATAGAGCAGCATATGTACAGCCTGTCATTATAGTTCGTATGAAATCACGTGCACAGTGACACTTGTCAAACCTGTTTCTCTTGCAGGTGTTAGCCAGATATTTAAAAACACGTATGTAAAAATAGCACTGTGAATATGTTATTGACAAAGGTTTGTGTCACTGACAGCCCATGGATAATCTATGCCCAAAAGATCCTCTAACACTTCTACTGCGGAGGTTCTCAACCTATGACTTGAAGGGAAGTGGCACACGTAAAGACGGTGTGAGCATCTCCATGTCTATGTCCACAACTGAGAGCTACCGTTGCTCCCAACAGTAGTGGCAATGCTAGGGAAGCAAACTAGATTTGGGAGCCTTGTGCTAAGTTTATGGACTTTGTGATTGGCTATTTGACAAAGCTTTCATATTGTTTTGCAATAAAGGTATTGTTTCTGTAGAAGTATTTGGGAGGAAAGTACCTGTTCAGATCTACCACAATACCTGCCATGCAAAAACTCACCTGTATCTGCAAAGTGATAATTGTATAAAATTCTTGGTGTTAGATGGTGTGTCTGAGAAAAACAAAAAAATTACTGCTGTTTTACTGTGGTGAGTTGCTGTAGTAGTGATTATTTTGAGAATTTGCTCATGAGTCCAAGGAGTAATGCTGCTTTTTCTGTAGCTTTGTGCTAGTAATTTGGCAGCAGCAAAGCTATTTTGCCCATCTGTTCTAGCTTCATTTTGGCAGCATTTCAAACATGGATTTCCTGATCTTTAAGGATTTGTTTCTGAAATCACAGGGCCTGTAGTTCTGGATTCTGAAGTCTTTGGCTTTCTTAAAAGGTGAGGAAGTTACTACACTACAGTAGTGTTCATGCTAGTGAGCAGTGTATATCCTATGTTATATTAATTTGTTCCAGCAGCCTCAAACAACTTGAAAACAAATTTGGAGTGAGATATATCTTTCCATTTTTGGCCAAAAATGGAAACTTAATAAACAGCATAATAATCACTTCAGTTTCTGCCTAGCTGGGTCAGTGCTTTGTTTTAATAAGTCTTACTGTTACATTCCAGAATTAAAAAAGTTTGAGCCCTAGTTGGGATTGAGCACTAGTTTACTGTTGGGGGTGTTATAAACTGATTATTTGTTCATTCACTAGGTAAAAACTTGTAAATTAAATGACTGGAAAGAAATTTTGCCGTCAGTTGGTCCCAACTACCTGCTGATAGAAAGTTGCTACATGTCTGTTTCAGGAACTTGGACCCAGATCATCAAATCAGTGTTGTTTTCATGGGTTCCAGGTTTGTGTAGGGTGATGTGAGCTGCTTTTGCACCTTTGGAGCTCTTTTAGAGTCATTTGATGTGCCGATGACTGCACTGTGGGTTGTGTGCAGGGAAGACCTGCCAACGTAGTACTTTCATATAGCAAGTGAAATCTCTTTGGAAATGATTATTTGAACTTAAAACCAGTCATACAAAATAACAACAGTAGTGCTATCCAGTGCATTCTTGTTGATGAGATGGCAAGGAAGGAGATTTATTGGAGAGAAAATTTCTTGTGAGCAGTAGGATATTAATGCTGGATGGTTGGAGTGGCAGCTGGAAAGGAACATTGAGTTATGCCTGTGGGCACTAGAGGAAATAACTGGAAATCAGTTTCTTAAATAATTCTGCTTAATAATAATTATTTAAAATTGTTTTTCTGCTGAAGGATTCTGGTGACTTTTTTAGCAGTTATTTTGTGACTTTGTCTTTGGGGACTCCTCTCTGGTTAAGTATTTCCGAAATAAATATAAGTGTGGCCACATCAAGGCTGATAAACTGACTTACAAAACAGCCTTATGAAACAGAAAACTGGATTTAAAAATAACACATAGGTAGATAACTAGGCAATGGCTTTATGCTATATTTTGATTTTTAGATGTTGGAATGAATTTCTAAGTCTTCAATGATGCTGTTAGATTGCTCCTAAGTGCTTAATGTTTTATTTCTAGCTGTGAATTCTTATAGAAGATTGATAGCTCTGCCAACATTTGCCCACCATAGAAGATGGGTGGATTAATTTCAAGATGGAGGGTAAGTAAAATTGTGTAACAATGTAATCATCTTTAGTCTAGAAGATGGGAGTGCCTAGGACATGTTTCTTAATGCCTGTTGGTTGACCAGTAATGCTGGTTGAATGTTAGTGCTAAACTTTTCCCATGAATGTGTCGCTTAAAAGTCTAGTAGTGAGACATCGTGACCAAAAGTATTTTCTACCAAATCACTAAACTGAAACCATGCTGGTGTCTGTTATTTTCTTTGCAGTATCAGTCTGGCACTGGCTTGGTTCACTTACAAAAATGTAATTGTCAAGCTTTCTGTAAGTCTAAATAGTTTTGTGGCACTTCATTGGGATAGATGTGGCAGCAACTGTGACTTGAAAGATTGGTGGCTGTTTTAGGTCAAAATAGATACATGCAGAATATTATTCTGTGTGTTTTGACAAATATTTTGGTAGGTATTTGTGCCTACACATCTGTCTTCCTGTCTGCTTTTATTAGCTTGTATATTATTGAGTGGTGTACTAAGTTTATGAGGAAGAAGAGGCATGAGGTTTTTGACTGCTCGCTTGGTAGGTGCGAGGGGAGTCCAGGTTTGCCTTCGCTTATTACCCGTTGATTTCAGAGCCTCCCATAGAAAACTCCTTTAAAGGTGAAAGTTAGATGTGATGTCAGTTTTGTGTAACAAACTCACTTTCATGGTGATGCAGTGTGGGCTATGTTTTTTGTGTCATGAAGGGTTGGGAAAGACTGTGGTTTGATACTTCTGTGAAATTAGGAAGGATTCCTAGAGGGAATTTTAGGTTGCTCCTAAGGGGAATTTTACTGGAGATGATAACACTTATATGCAGTTACTTATGATTTATTTAGAACATGTGTCTTTGTATAGAAGGATTAGTAATAAAAAGCTGAAGTACTCAGGTACTTCATCTATATATTCTCTTTGTTTTGCCTAATTCCTCCAGTCATAGATTCTGTCCTGGTTTTACTTCCCACCCACATATGTATTATTATTGCTGTACATGCATTTATAGGTTTTCATCTTTTGTGATATAGGAGAGGAGCCTTCAGTTAAGAGTAACACCAACTGTAAAATAGTGATTGATTACACTTCCTTCTATTTGTCAGTATAAAAGGAGTAAAACTTCTTACCTCTATGTAAAATAGAAAATTAATTAATCAGTTATGAATATGTCTTTTTGTTAGGAAACTTTTAATGTACAGAATCCTCAAAATGCTAAGGTGTTTTTGAAGTGAGATTAATATCTTTGTTCTTTCCCTTGTAAGCAGACAAAGCCTTCCACTGTAGAAGTATTAGAAAAAATAGATAAGGTATGTGTTTGCTTTTTGGAGTTTTGTTTGTTTGGTTTTTTTTTTTTTTGTTTTTTTTTAGAAATAAGCATCCTTTTTGCTGGCCATGTATTCTTTTCACATTAGGTAAAATACTGTCATGGAATTTTAAATTATTTTGGTAATTATTCCAGTGCTAGAGATTCAGAGTTTCAGATTAACTGCTACCTTTTCCCCACTTACTGTAGTAATTTTAAAACATACCCATACTGTATAATAGATAGTGAGAAACTACAGTTCAGATTTTTATTTAAAGAGCCTGAAATGGGAATGAATGTGAAGCTGCCTTGATTACACACTTGAATTATAACTAATGGTTAAACTCCGATGTAATGGAAAATGTCACTAATGACAAGTTACATTCATCAGATTGATTAGAAAAGCTTTAACATGTGGGTTTATGTGTAAAAATTGTAACTGCCCTGGTAGTAAAGTAAGGTCGGGGCAGAATAACTGAATAGACAGTTCAGTAATCAGTTTGAATTTCTCACTAGCATTTGCAACAGATGTCTGTGCTCTGTGGGGGAATGAACTATTTTGAAATACTGTTGATATTTTTTGTTTTCCTTTTAATGAAAGTGTGAGTACTCCCTGAAATACAGACAAAATGGTTAACGTAGCAGAGCATTGGTTGATCACATGCCAGAAGCATCATATAGATGTTCAGTATTTCACTCTTAATGTGAGGAAAGTACTGAAAGGTAAACATGTGAAATGATGGAGAGGTTTCAGCGATTTCCCATGTTAGTAGAAAAGTGTTTAAAATTCCACAAGTGCCTGATGAAAGTTTTAGGATGCAAAGTATGGTTAGCAGTGATTTATGTGATCATAAAGACTGCCATTCATAAGATCTAGCATTTTTCACTTGACTCAGATATATTAATGCATTATAAATGTGAAAAAGTGCTGATTTGTAATATTTCTTTCCAGTTGCTAATATGGTGCAAGTAGCTAATATCATAACCTTAATAGTGTGGTGTATTTATGCTATGTAAGTTATCTTTGGGCAAATATTGTCATTTATCAAAAAGCTGCTTGACTTTCCTAATAAAATATCAAATTGATAGGGCTGATTTTAGAAACCATTTAAAGGCAGCGTAGTAAGACCATCTACTGATTTCACTAATAAGGTTGAACCCTGTTTATTTACAGGAAATAAAGGCATTAGAAGAATTTAGAGAAAAAAATCAGAGGCTACAGAAACTATGGGTTGGAAGGCTGCTTCTCTACTCCTCACTTCTTTACCTTATTACTTGCTTAATTGTATATCTGTGGTGTCTTCCTGATGAGTGGACAGCAAGGCTGGCAATGACACTTCCATTTTTTGCATTTCCATTGATGTAAGTAAATATGCCTTTTTTTTTTTATTTTCTAACTGCTGTCTCTTAGATAAAAGGAGATGGAAAATACATCTCAGCAGGGGTTTGGGTTTGCTTTGACAATCCTTGAGATGTCATAACTTGCTGAATTTTTTCTTCTAAAATAAATCCAAGTAGTTAGGCAGACACTTTCTTTGAGAGGAATGTCTCTCGTGGGTCTGGGTTTAGTATAGAACTGAGTTTTACCATCAAAAGATGATAGCATCTAAAGTTACTTGGCTTATCAAAACTATACTAGGGCTAGAGAGACACCTATATCTGAGCAGCTGCAAGGTAGTGTATGTATTTAATATATATAGATCATAATGCTTAAAATGCATATTATAATGCTTGTAAGCAGAAGAGCATTATCTTGGGTTTTATTCTTACTGCTATTTGAGAAGTAACATTACTATATCAAAGTAAGCTATATGTTGCCTATATGTAAAATGTAGCATATAGAACCGGGGGGAAAAATACAGGAATGAATGGAGAAACTTACGTATTAGATGAATGTTACCATAGTGTTGACTTGAAAGGTTACAAACCTAAGTATGTTGAAGGCTAGTTTTACATAATTAGCTGTTTTTCTAGGGAATCATTGACTGTTTTTGTCAAGGAAAAAATACCCAGACTTCATTGGATGTCAACAGGACAAAGTATTGTCTATGTTTTTGTTCCACAGAGCTGATTGGCTGCTCATCATGATGAGTGCTTTTGTTTTCTAAGAATGCTACTTCTCTAAAAGTAATAAAATGGGCTCCCACCTCACTAAACAGCTGCTTTGCTGCCTCCCCTTCCCCCAAAGCATCAAGGAGGAGAAAGCAGCCTGCTGAGCATCTTTACCACTAATGGGGTGCACAGTGCATTTTTTATTTGCTGAAATGAACATAGAATCATAGAATTTTAGGGGTTGGAATGGATCAGATAGTCCCATTTCCCTCCCATGGGCAGGGACACCTCCAGAGCAGGTTAGGTTGCTCAAGGCCTCATCCATCCTGGCTTTGAACACTGCCAGGGTTGGGGCAGCCACTACTTCCCTGGGCAACCTGTGCCAGTGTCTCACCACCCTCACAGGAAAAAACTCCTTCCTAATATCTATCCTAAATTTCCTTTCCTTCAATTTGAACCTGTTACCCCTTGTCCTGTCACTGCATTTCATAACAAAGAGTCCCTCTCCAGCTCCCCTGTAAATCATCATAAATGCTGTCCATATTTGTGCAGCATCTTTGTGAGTGCCCTAGCTCTAGACTGGAAAGGCAAAGTCAAATATAAGTATTTAAGGATTCATAGCTTTGATTAGCTTGGGTCAGCATAACATAACATGCAAAAGAACCCTAGTTTAAAGATGCTTTTTGTATGTCATACTGTGTTATGCATAATGTACTAATATGCTGCTTTTATGGAGTCCTGTGGAGAAGATACATGGGCAAAAGTATTTTGACTGGAAAGGATTAATATAGAAATTATAGCTCATATTAGTCTTTGGCAGTAATAAGAATTGATTTTATTCTTAAGGATGTGAAAGTCTTTGTTGTTAGTGTGTGAAGCTTGCTCATGCTAATAGGGAAGGCTTGTAGAAGAGGAAATATTACCAGCCTCCTTTCACATAGGTTTGATAGAATGAGTGTAGAAATGGAAACTTTTATTATTGAAGGTGATGGCTTCTAGTGCTGTAGTGTGAATTTTCACACTGGATTTTTATTCTCTAGTTTGTCCTCCAATTCTGCTTTTTTTCCAAGATGGCTCTCTGTAAAATTCCATTTTAGATATCAGCTTACTAACATTTAGAATTAGACTGTTGTTCTCTTATGACTTGCAACTGTTTATCTGATATTTTTTTTTCCTTGAGCTATTCCCTTTCAGCTTTTTTTTTAGCAGATATGAATGGCAAGCAGCTGCCAGCTTGTCTTTGTTCCCGGTCAAGAGGTGACTCCATGTTGAATGCCTGGTGCCACCCAGTAATAGCTCTAGAGATTTTTCAGCCCTAATCAGACTGGAATATGTCTGCCTTTTCCAACTTGCAGTCAGTCACCACCTTATTTCTGCCTTAGGTCAGTCCCTCAGGGTCTCAGCAAGTTACTGATGCTGGTAGAGCAAGTTATGTTTTAGGAATATAACTTCATTAATTTTAAATGTATATTGAAATACCTGAAAAGCTGAAGAAATACATTAGAAGGAAATGATTTTTATTTTGTAAAATTGGCCTGATGTAGTCTGCTTTTAAACTTTCACCTCGAAGTTCTTAAAGAGGAAATCTGTTAGCTTAGAATACAGCTTTAGGTAGAAGATTCTTTATTAAGTGTACATTGAAAAAGCAGTAATGCTTTTGCCTGTGTAACAAGGTATTTGTTCTGCTCTAACCCTGTAAACATTTATTTCTTCTGATACTTCATGGAGACATGTTTTGCACTGTGTAAGTAGACACACCCATCTGTATTCTTAGTGTAGTTATAGCACACCTTGGAAGGTGGAATAGTTAAACTACTTTCTCTCTTACCTTGCATAGGTTACTGTTGCATTTCAGTTGCCTCATCTAACTTGCCTAACTCAGGTTGTGTTGTTAGTACTTGAAGGCATTTTGAACTGAGCAACCATTATATGAATGCAAAAGATGTTCTTAGGAATTTCATAAGCCAAAACTCTATTTGAAATCCTTTAGCCTTTTGCCTGCTTTCTTACGCTGGCTATTAGAGAACCTTTCTAGCTATTAAGGGTTTTGTTTTTCTTAAATGAAAGATTGCTGGTTTAGGCTCTATTATTTTAGGGGGGTTTTGGATAAGATGCTGGGTATGGCTTGAAGTATGAGGTTTGCCACTTGGCTTGGGCTGAGTAACTTGCCAGGAAAAGTGTCAACTTAGAGATTAGAATTGCTTATAATTATTAAAACAAATGAAGTCATAATGATTGCAGAAAGACCTTTCAAATGTAAAATGCTCATGGATCAGTTTAACTTTATTGTGAGCACAGATAAACTGCTCCATTGTTTGAGCTAAGTCAGCTGAAACCCTTCAGAAACTGAGTGGATTCAGAGCTCTGTAAAATCGCCAGGAGTCAGGTCAGTTAACTCTGCTTTGGGAGAGCATTTGTACAATAGCTGTATCTCATGGTTTTCATTGGTATTGAATTCTTTCCACAAATCTCCTGGGTCTTAATTTTGGGGCTTAGTTGGTAAGCTTGGTTTTTTTGGGTAGCATGCATTATAAATCTATCAAAAGAGAAGTGATGACTAAGTAATTTTCAGCTAAACATTTTAGTAAGCGATGATGTTACTTGCTGCTGCCTTAGTATTTCTACCTTTAGTAATACTTGATTAAATTTTAATGGAAAGGACTTTATATTAAGCAATGATGATGTATTGGTGACAAGATGCTAATTTAATTTTGATTTTTTAAAAAATATAAATATTTCTTGAAGTGTTCTATTTGCTAAACAACCCACAAATGGTTAGTGTAATATATTTTAATGAGTATAATTCTTCTTTCTGTTTTAAAGAATTTGGTCTATAAGAACATTGCTCATCTTTTTCTTTTCCAAACGGACAGAAAGGAATAGTAAGTATATTTTCTGTGGGTGGTTTTTTTTTTTTTGGCGGGGGGGTGTGTGTTTGTCTTTTAGAATATGGGGCTAGTTGTGAATGACGGTAGTGTAAATGGTTTTGATCATTTGGCTTCCAGGAGGACAAGAGTAACCTTCAGATGATGCTGAAATGGGTAGAAAATGGGAAAGGAAATAGAAACAATAGTGGTAGTTCTCTTAATACTCGCATCTTAGAAGTATTCCTGCAGTTTTAATCTGTTATCCTTATGTATAAGAGAAGAGATTTATAGCAGATATGCTTAATTTATTTGTCAAGATAGCTTTTCTCTCCCAAGTTCTCCAAAGCATGCTTATGTTTTCCTGAGTGGGAAAGGTACAAGCAGGTGTTTTTCTACGTTTTAGAGAGCTAAGGAAAATTGGGTGTCATGTAATAAAACTAAAAAGCAATGCAGGTGTTCAAGTATATATAAAAAGTTGATAAATTTTGGATTACAGTGAATCTGCATGCTATTTAAAAAGTGTATCTGTGGCACTTGTCTGCAGTAGTTAGAATTCGTTTAGGCTTTCTTGGAAAGCAGTCCAGCCTGTAACAACATCTCATGGTGATGTGAGCAATAATACAGGAAAACCTCAGTGTTGCACTATGTTTTATGACTTGCAGAACAGCATGATGTATTTAATTTGTGACAGCTTATGAGTTAAACATCACTTTCGGAATTTTTCTTAAAAGTAACATTTGCATTTGATATGCAAGCACAGAACATACATTTTTATGTAGAAATAAAATTGTCCATATATTCTGTGGTGGTGTGTGATTCATTTCTAAGGTGAATATATATTTGCATTTCATGGCTGAATAAGGGCAAAAAGGATGCATGTTTTTCTAGTTTGCTTAAATGTTTTTATTGCTGTTTTGAGCATATAAGCAAGTCTAGTGCTTTTGTTGAACCTGTGTATAAAAGCTTTTAAAAGATGATAGAACATGCCAAAAGGGATTATTTCTGTGTAGTTCCAGAGATTGAAGTGTTTTACCTTGAAGATAAGTCCTGTATTTTAAAGAGAAGAATCAAATGCATGGTGCAAGACTTACAGCAGTAAAACAGGAGAAAGTATAGCTGAGAGAGCAAACTGGCAACTGAGTGGCTCAAAGCTAACCTTTTATTCTGGGATAAGTTAATCTAACACATTGAGTCACTGGAGATAGTTATTTAAATACTATAAAGCTCTGTTCCGGATAACCAGTGTACACCAGATTTGGGAACCATGCTCTGAATAAGGAAAATTTGTAGCTAGACTCTAGGAAAGGATGTAGAGAGATGATGGAATTTCAGTTTTTAAGACTGGTCAGGCAAAAAATTGTTAGGTAAGATTTAGGCTGATCCATCCCAAAGTGTGTGGAAAATAAATCAGGTATATTCCAGGTATTGACTTCTCTAGTATGAATTCTTTTTTCTGTAGGTTTCATTAAGATGAAATATATTGGTTTCTTGAGAGTACTTTGCAGTAATTGCCATTTGGCCACATTTGAAGGGGCAGGTGTTTCATGATGTTCTTGTTGAATACAGGAGGTAAAGTGATCAGAAACAAAGACCCACACTTTAAATTGGTTGCATTGCTTTGTGGAAGGCTATGCCTGCAGATGTTCTAGGCATTTCTGTACCAAAAGCAGTTCGTTTCTTAAGTAAATATTAGTAGTTGTCTGTATTCTGCTGTTTATTTGGCCGCATGGTACCATACTGCATTGCAGTACATTTCGAGCTGTTAATCTGTGTGGGGCTATATGAGAGACTGTGTTCTAATATAAATGTCCAATTTGGTGAAGGGAGGTATCTTACTAATTTGAAGATGCACACTCTCTGGAATTGTTCATCTTCTGTGGTCCATCTCAGTACTAGGTATGGTCTTGTTCTGTGTCCTGTTTATCTTAACTGATACAGATGCTATAGTTACCCTTTGATTTCATAAACTTTCAAACATGTGCATGCACAACTTTAGTATTCTGCACATTTAACAGAGGATTATTCTATCAAAATGGGTTTCTACATTCTGGAAAAGTTCAAGTCATTATTTGTTCCCTTAATTTAAAGTAGCTGTTCCTGAAGTAACTTTGAGTGGTATGACATACTTATATATATATATGTAAAGATACAAAAAAGGAGTATATTTCGTTTGGTGGAATTTGGTTTTGTGTCTTGGAGTTCTATGAAGCTTTTTCTTTCTTTGAAATCTGAAAAGTGGGTAAAAATAGCTATATTTTTACAGGAAGTAAACTGCCAGTGTTCAGTAGAGCTGAGAAGGGGGAAGAAGTTGTAAAGTTTATTGTTAAATTCTTCTTGCTGTGAAGGAGGTAGTAGAAAGCTAGTTTATTGAGAGAATATCTATTTTCTACATAAGGCAAAGCTTTATTACAGCAAGTTTTCCATGAGTGTCAAGCTACAAACATTGACTTAAAGGGAAATCTCATGTGCCTTTGACCTTACTTCTTTCCCTCCCTCTTAGGTGCTGTGCCTACTAGTTGTAACAGTCTTTTAATATTTACTATTAAAATGACCTTCTGGTAGCTGTTCTTCCAAAACTGGGGGGTTTGCTGTAGTCTGAAAGTATTGAAAGGGTGAAATAGATTGAGCTTTGACGCTGGGAATTGTCCTGGCATTTGAAACTAGTATGTGTTAAGAGGCTTATGTGAAATACTAAAGCCAGTAAATCTGGTACTCAGATATATTAATGCTTAGACCTCAAGCTTTTGTCTGTAGTTTGACTCATGAGATTAAGTGTATTTGCTCCATTGTTGTACCAGTTTTAATGTAGGTCAAAGCAGGGCACTGGCTAGAATTGGTTTGCTTAATGAGGAAATGGTACATAAAATTTTTAATAGTTATAACTGTAAAGTGATAACAGTGAGCTATAATTTATAAGCAGTTTCAACATTTTAGCTGATTTATTTTCACATAAAAACTTCGGTTATTTTATGCAAAGTTTACTGATGTTTGGTATTGACAGTGGCCAGTGCATAATTTTTCCTGATCTCACAGGGCAAAGTCATTGTTTAGAGTGTGCTGAAATTACCTCATTTGTATTTGGAAACTAATGTACAATGTCCTTCTTTTAGATGATGCACTGGAAGATTTAAAATCTCAGAAGAAAAAAATAGTAAGTTGAACTTCAAGAAAAGCTTGTTATTACAGTCTACTAAAAGTGGTGTATGTCAGATATTTGCATCAACTAGATCAACACTTAATCTCAGCAAGACAAATTTAGGATGGAAAAGTCTTGGATAACTTGCCCTCTTCGTGAAGCTGTGACACTGAAAGCTGTTTCCTCTCATCTTAAGAATTTCTTAAGGAAGTTTGCTGTTCACATATGTTGTTGGCTTCATCTCCTGCCTTGCAAGGCAGTGCATAAAAACCACCACCAAAACACATAAAAACCTGAACACTGCTCTCCCCCCCCAACTGCCCTTCCTTCCTCTAAAAACTCCAAAAGTTGTATTATTAGGCTTTATTGTTGGTGAGTTTCCCATAGTGTTCACCTCATACCTTCTGGATTTTACTATGATGGCTAAGTTAATAGAAAACCCACAACAAAGATACCACAGAGGAATTAGGTAAGAGTGTGGTATTTTGTCATGGTCTTCCACTCTGCATGTAGATGCAAAAAAGATAACCTGTACCTAATTATGTGATTGTCCTTTTGTTAAGAGGATTTGCTACTATTTAAATGGATGTGTCCTTTGGTTGGAGTGGTGATAGAGAGGGTTTAGGAGGGGCTTACAATTTCTGAGAAAGAAAGTGCATGACAACTATGTTGTCAAGTTTATTTTATGAAAACTGCTTAACTGAAATGAGTTAATGTCTCCAGTTACCATAGTCATTTGGTAGCTGTGGAGGGAAAGTTCTTGGAATAGCATAACACCACGGAAAACAAAACAGTTCTTGAAATCTTAAATGTAAAATCTTGAGTTCTAGTTTAGTTTTCTGTAATCATGACAATCTTCATATTTATTGTAGCAAAACTAGTAATGCTAGGTGCATCAGGCAAAGTATTGCCAGCTGGTCAAGGGAGGTGATTGTCCCGCTCTACTCTGTGCAGGTGTGGCCTTGCCTTGAGTACTGTGTGCAGGTTTAGGCATCACAATATGAAAAAGATATTAAGCTATTAGAGAACTTCAAAGGAGAGGAAGCCATATGAGGAGTGATTGAGGTTACTTAGTCTGTTCAACCTGGAGGAGACTGTGCAGAGACCTCATTGCTGTATACAGGTTCCTCACAAGGGGAAGTGGAGGGACTGGTACTGATCTCTCTGGCAACCAGTGACAGGACCCAAGGGAATGGTCTGAAGTTGTGTCAGGGGTGTTTTAGGTTAGGTATTAGAAAAAAAGGTTCTTCACCCAGAGAGTGTTTGGGCACTGGAACAGCTCTCCAGGGAAGTTGTCACACCACCAAGCCTGACAGAGTTCAAGAAGCATTTGGACTATGCACTGAGGCACAGAGTGTGATTCTTGGGAATGTCCTATGCATGACCAGGAGTTGGACTCAATGATCCTTGTGGGTCCCTTCCAACTCTGAATATTCTGTGATTGTGTGTTAAGTTAATTAGCTATAATTAAGGCACTACTTCAAGATACATCTTTTCTCTACTTGATCATAAGCGATACTGTTGTGTTCATGACTGTTTAGTTGTAATTTTGGCCTTGGAGTTCTCAGTTAATGAGGATATCAGCCCTTAAGCCTGAACATGTATAGATGAGTGAGTTCAGAGGGTTAAGCATATTAAAGCAAGGACACAGGACATGGATTAAGCTGACACAGCTGGGAATTAGTGGAGAGTTTACCTGGAGCAGCAGTCGTAAAGATGGGATAATTCTTAGCTGAGGACAGACTTGTGAAGATAGTATAGTAATTACCTTGCTAATTTTAGAATTAAACTTTGCTGAAGTTTGCTCAGCTACTCTGAATAGCGGGCTGAGTGTAATATTACACTTTGACAGACTTCTTAGCTATTTCAGGTAAGAGTTTAGAAAGTTGCATCTGTTAATCTTCCAAGAAAATAAAAAGTAGTTTGATTTCAAGGCTGTCTTGAAGTTATGTTAGTAATGGGAAAAAAGCCACAGCATATAAATTTTGTTACTTAAAATAATTACTGTTTAATCAATTTTATGCCTTCAGCCTTCCAGGCATAGAAAACCATTGATGTTTTGATAATTTCAGTATGTGACAGACTGTGCGAGGTTTTATCAGTTTATCAGAGTGCATCTATTTCAGTATGTGACAGACTGTGCGAGGAGTTGGTTGTTGTGTAAGCCCAGTTTTATCTACCCAGTATATGACAAAATGTTGCAAATGTGCAATTGGAAGCTCAAAATACCATTAAAAATTTGTATTTACTGATGAAGGGTCAAATGAGTTATTTCTTTCATGCTGTGTTCAGACAGAACAGTTACTTTGGTGGTTTTACTGTTTGCATGGATCCGTTCAGAGTATACTTGATTACTGTGGCTTAAATGGTTTATTTCCTATTTTAAGGAAACTTTTGCAGTGTGTACTGGCATATCTTACATGGTAGACTGAAGTGAGTCCTGTGGCTTTGTGTGAACATAAATACCTCTTTGTAGTTGGGGTTGACATACCAAGTAATTCAATTTATGAACTCACATAGTAGTATGGCAAATAAATAGTTTGCACTGTGCCAGTACTTTAGACTTCAGTTGCATTTACAAGAAGCTTAAAATATATTGCTCGTATTACTTTTCAATATATGCAACTGATGTTGTTGCCACAGGAATTTTGTTTGGTTGCCTATTGGAAAGGAGGCCTTCCATGCAATTATTCATGGGAGAGAATGTGGTACATGACTATGCTTCTTTATGAAGATGTGGTTAATTCCATGAAAAATTCATGCTTAGATTAGCATTAACTTTCACAGAGACTTCGCTTGTGATTCTGGTTGCTCAGCATTTGTGCTCGATAATGATAGACTATGAATTATCCCTTGGCACAAAGGAGAATGTTTTTGTGGGAAAGATTTTGGATCTCGGAGAAGAGTGTATTATGGAAAAAGAGCAAGAGGTGTTGAGCAATTTGCTGTATTAGCTAGCCAGTGCTCAGCACTAGGTTAGCCTTTCCAAGATTATGCTTCAGGATGCCGAATGATCTGTAAGTCAGTATGTTGATTTGCATTCATAAATGAGCTTGCTGTGACAGTACACAAGCCAGTTTATTCTGCTACACAAATGTAGAAATCATATTGAAATTTTACACAGGCTCTTACTTGCTTCTAGTCATTATACTCATTAGGTCATGGTAACTAAACTGTGACCTTCTAGAGTCTTTTATTTGGTGTCATCAGCCAAATTTCAATTTACTTTAGGAAAATATATCCTAGAAGTGAAAGCATGAGAACTGTGAGTGTGCTTGTAGAAAATTTCTTTACATTTTCCAAGAAATTTGTGAAGAGTGTTGTGAATTCTCGTTCAGATTCAGCTTTACTAGAATCACAAAGCTGTGTATGAGTTTCAGAACACAAAGAGTAACTAGTTAAATTATCCAATAGCTATGTAATGTGAATAACTTTGACATCTGAATCTTGTGATGAGACTTGAATTTTTCTGTTTCAAAATGTTACTGTTTCTGCAAAACTCATGTATCCACAAATAGCTGCCATGCTGTCTAGTACTGCTATAGCATGAAGTGCCTTAGATAAGAAAAGTGTCAAGTGATAGTGGAGCATTCTGGTTTTTCTCTTCTTAAAGGTCACTTTGACCTGCAGAAGGTTATTTCTCATTTGCCTTTGTGGCTATACAGGCAATTGCATACATTTGATGTTCATTGATGTAAAGGGAATTGTTTTTTTAAAATTTTGATTTGGGGACCAGATATTGACATTGACTGTTAACACTTCCCTGCATTGCAGCTTCACCTCACTAGCCCTACCCCTTCATATAAAAGTCTGCCTTATGGTTTTCACTTTTATAAGCAATAAATACTTTAATTTTCCTATTAGACTATCAATTCTGGTCTTACTGCACTGTGTGGCATTTGTTTTATGAAGTTAGTGGGTTAACTCCAAAGTCTTGCTGAAATACAAGTTTAGGAAATTGATTTTTACTTCCCTCTTCACTCCCTTTTGTTTCAACAATCCTTAATTAACAACCTGGATAGTATTCCTTGCCTTAAATTTCAAGAAGTGTGTGGAGGAGTGAGTGTTAAATGGATACACAGTATCCATTAAATTGAGTGAGTTTTTATTTAGCTTCTGAGGTCTATTTGTAGTTCTGAGGTCTGTCTAAACATGAAACCCCTGCACAGTCTGTATTTGCAGAATGGCTGAAACTTTAGTTTCTCACTAGCTAAATAATGGCATAAAAGTCATGTTAACCTGCACCATTTGTTATTTTAGCGGTGATAAATGAGTTTGAGAGAACTTAATTTTTTGACCACTGACCTTTTTAGTTTTGCAGTTTATGCCAACAGCAAACTTCAGAACAAACAAACCCCCCACTTTTAGCAGAACTCGGCCATTAGTCAGCACATCTAGGAGAAAAGGTCTGCTTGAGATACTGTAAAATGCATTATAATTTCTATACATATTAGCCATTTGTCATAACTTCAGCCCTCTCAGTTTTAGAGTCAAGCTTCTTCTGATGTTGGCTGTTAACCACTAAAATGATACTTTACTAGTGATTACTTTTTTAATTAAGCCCATGTATTAGCTATAAAGTCACTTGAGTGCATTGTAAATAAAACGCTGTAATAATGAAGTGCTTTAATTACATTCCCTAAAGTATGCATAGTTCTCAGTAAATTTTTTTATTTAAATTCTTAACGCATTCTCTTTTTTTCTGAAAAGCAGTTTGGATGGCTGTAAAGATGGAGATCCAGCCTTTAAAGTCATTTGAGCAAATTCCATGGCTGTTCTCTAGTTAGTGAGTTTTCACAGCATTTGCAGCAAGCTAATTGCTTCTGCTAATAAATAATCTAAAATCGATGCTGACAGCAGTTAATTGGCACAGGGACTTTATTCTGTAAAGCACTTGGCTAATGACCTTCCTTAAATTAATAGCATTAAGTGCTATGAGGAAATAAATCTAAGGAATTGCCTGTCATTCGCTTGTCATGTCTAATAACTTCCAATAATGATGGCTGATAGATTTTTGCACATTCCATTATTGAAGTTGGTGCTTGTAATTATTCTCCTCATTATATGTAAACAATTAGCAATATTTGGTGTTTCCTTGCAATAAAGCTGTTAAGTACAAAGTAGTCCATTAGAGTTTAGAAACTATTTTTGAAAGCAGAATGTAATTTCCATTGAATACAGCAAGTCTGCATGTATCTGAACATACTACTGGTTCATTAGACTTCACCTGTTGGTAACATTGCTAAGGTGCTTGGAAATGGGAAGGTATAGTGGGAGGGAATACTTTGAAGAACTCTGTATGGATGTGTGGAACCTTTTGTTTCCAGCTTGAGGAAGTGATGGAGAAGGAAACATACAAGACAGCTAAATTAATCCTTGAAAGGTTTGATCCAGAATCAAGTGCAAAGGTAAGAGTCTAGTTATTGATATTGATTTAATATGAAAGGTACTATGGAGCTGAACATTCAGATAATGTTATTTATAATTAATTGGCAGGTGCCTGAACTACCATCTGCTGGAACATCTGCAACCCCAAGACCTGGACAAGGTAATAGCCCTGTAAAATGGCTGCTCTTTAGCATAGATACTCATCTTTCACAGCAATTTCCACTCTGGAGGTCTCTCTGTGATAAAATTTGTAGATCAATTGACCTTTATTTAGGGTTAATAGACTCTTCATTAGACTATGTCCATTACTGTTCTGTGTTTTTCAGGCAAGGGATCTATTACTATAGGCTGATGTTCTAGACAGCAGGATATTTAATGCTGCTTGGTGCTAAAGCAGAGAGAAAATTAACTTCTTGTGGCATACTTGTAATTTTTCTGGAATGCTAAGGTGCTTTCAAATCTTATGTAATATTAATTGACTTAGCTTTTCAATTCTGTTTATATTTCTGGCTGGTTAGACCTTTCCTAATGCAATGCTTAAACTACTTCTGTTTGGTGCACAGAGTGGGGGAAAATGCTTGTGCGGAAATCAGATCTTTTCTAGTTGCAAAGAATGGACAGTTCTTTACTGGTTTATGATATTCCATTTAAAAGTGTTATTGAAGAAAATAATAAAATAGAAAAAACTTGTTTCAAGGAAGCCTTGTTTCTAGATTGCACATACAAGCTTCTAGACTGAAAAGATCTCTCTCCCCTACTCTGAGTATAATGCTTGCATTCAAAATCTGTATTTATGCAAATATTTATGCAAAGAAACTGCTGTTAAGTTTTCCCTAATGTTGAGTATAATATGCTGTAGTTTAACTGAAAATGCTAGTATGAACACAGTTTAAAGGCTGCCTCATATTATAATATTGAAGGTAGTAGTCATACGTTAGGACAGATCTTTGTAGCTAACTTGCTGTTATAACCTGTAAGGACTGGTGCTCAAAATAAACTGCAGAATCTGTGCATAATTTTCCATAAAATAAACAGATTTCTTTAGAGCATGTATGAGAATTGTCACCTTTGTGCCTAATTCTTATGGGTAACCAAACTTGTATTTGTCTCACTCTTGGATGCAGAGCACCTGTATTTACTCACAAAGGTGTTTATAAACTGCATCATCAAATTCACTGTTTTATTCTTCCGGTTTAGCTTCAAGTTGTCATGAAAGCATTTTAAAACCATCCTTACTTGTTGACATTGACAGTGAATAGTTGCAATGCAGTACATTAGCAGTAAAACTTGAATCTCCTCTGGTGTCCTAGGCACAATTGCTTTTTCTCAAGTTTTCTCCTTACCTTCTCTCCCATCATTCCATTTCTGCAGCATTCATAGTTTTGTTCAGGCTTATGGGCTGTTTTGACACCCTGTTCTCTGTCTTAATGCAGCTCATGAGTGGTTGCCAAGAAGTTTCTGTCATACCCATAATGTTTAGGTAGTTTGTGGTTGGCTTTTTTGTAACTCTTTATAAAATTCATCCTTCTCTTTGAGATATGTTACAAGTCACTCCAGTAGTCTAGTAGCAGGGTGACAGATTTGTTTATAGAATGCTGACCAGGAGATGGAACTGCCTGGAAATGTGTGTTTATGTGTAGAGATCTAGAGATAACTAGCTATAAATTAGACAGTGAGAAGTCTTTAGTCACCTTGGCTTTATTAAGACACATCATCAGCGGCTTTGAA